TTCGCCAAGTAATTTGCGTAGAAAATTGGGCTAACAATACAACCAATAATGAAAGATAAATATCCCAGCAGCGTCCGGAAAAGAATGTAGAATAGTACCGGAACGAGACGCTAATCCACCCGTTGACAACAAACCGGTGTTTTCTCCTCGACACACAACGCAGTTGTCTTTGATGAAGAAGTCTCATCACCCTCTGTTACTATGGCGGCAGTATCCTGAGGAACCCCTAGATCTGCTGAATTTCCACACGACCTGAGGGAATACGTTTGCTCCTGCAGCTCTCCCAGTTCCGTGAATTGCGACTCGCAATCCCCGGTACTACGCGTGGTGCTGGCAACCGTTGTAAAAGTAAATCCCCATGTACGAGTACGACTACCCTCGTGGGCTGTATTTGAAGTCCAACCGAACTCAACGGTACGTTCTCCGCTGTTCTGGTACTCCTCTTCTGTCGATTCGTCCCCCCTTGCTGCCCTCTTCCTCCAGAAAAGTAGCCTCAACAACGGCGTAACGACCACCAGCAAGTTGCATACCATCACCGAGACCGCTATCTGTGCAATGGGTTGAATAGATTCGGGTTACACGATCGAAGGAAGTCATAGTTATGAACCCATACCTGCACATTTATCGCGTATGACAGGCCTCTTCCATCCCCGTTTGATAGAGTAAAAGCCACTCGAACGCAAACCGCAATCAAGCTCAGGAGTGTACTCCCAAAGAGTACCAGGACAAGTCGGCGTTCCCCTCCTCGGAGGGATGAGCTGTTCCAAAAGGCATACAAGGGGAGTGCCACAAGAAAAATCGATGAAATCCCACCACCTATGCGAACGCAATGAGACCAAGAAGCACGGAGACCAATCGCGCTTACCGACAATATGGAGGGTTGCAAAAATTAACCTTTGCACATCCAGTCTCTTCTGGAGAACGGGATCATTGAAGACGATCAATTTCACCGTGAGGGTTGCAATCCCCGTCACGAAACATCCAATTGATAATCCTATAGCTGTCGTTCGAAGTCGACAAGGAGGGAGGATACGAGCGATAGAGAGGGCGAGAGATATCCGCGAGGACCTAAAACCAAGCCATGGGAAGTAGTTCGACGAGATAAAAAAGCCAAAATGGCATAGTTGTACGTACCAAATAGCCCCAAGACCCAGTGAGCTGAGAGTCGAAACCATCGCTAGACTCTTTCTCTTGTACTCCTCCGCGTTCATGATCAGCCGTTTGTCTTGTACTAGCACAACAAGTAGTAGGGTTATCAAGGACAGTTAGATCGTTATCATTCAACACTTACTTGAGGTCCATTTGAACCAATCCATACTCAAATACATCGCAACCATTATCGCAGCGAAAGCAGCCCAATAGTCATCCCAAGAAACAAGCTTGATACGAATCCGTCGCGCCAATCGAAGCGTGGTAAGAGCCATCGCGAAGGAATGAATGATTGTTATAAAAACTGACCAGGGAGGGAGATCATCATCAGTCATCTTCCATAGATCCAAGTCCAATCCAACAAGGAAACGCCTACCTCGGTTATCAACAATGTCGAGCTCAACTTGATGGCTAGGCATAGCTGAGGCACGGGGGAGAAGGAAAGGAGAAACCAGCCCACTGCCATGACCGTACGTGCCCATGATTCAAAAACACGGGTCACCGGGTGCAAAATAGGACTCTCCGTGTCGAGGGCACGACTCATATCCAATCGGACATCGGCCTTGCCGGATCGATTTAGAGGGTGGTAAAGACGGAATCCCGACAGTCGAAAATTAGTATGTACATGCTCAATTGTATTGTTGACGTTACGTCGCCGAACTCCCAGAGTGCCAACCTAATGATTGACACCCGTAAAGGCTTGGTGAAGTATGTTGTCAAACCCGAACATGTCGTAGAAAGTACTGTATGCTATTTGAAAATTTACCTGGGTGTCAAACGGGGGAGGAGCAATCAGAAGGAATCAGTCTCGCAGGAGCTCGAGTACCAATGCACTCACCTCACCAGTCCCACCAATACGACCCCCACGCATGATTTTTGTCTCGACCAAGTCTCAATCCCTTGCGCCAGTTCCCCGGAAACGACCTTCAGGCATCCAGTCTTTACGGCGTCATCTGGGGCTAGTGTACTTGCAACGTGCAGCTGCGTTTATCCAAGGGTGGTACATGTACCTGATCAGCGACGCGCACACATATGGTCAAAGCCACAATATAATTGACAGCTCACACGTCGAAACTTGCACACCATCGAGAGTTTAGGCGAGCATTCCGTTCTGTTTACCTATCAACACATGATGACATGGTGTTCGGCATCGGGAAGTAGACGCAGACTCACAATTGGCGGGGTGGACGACTTCAAAGACCTGATACGTAGCCGATTGTCCGAATTCGTAAGTTCTGGGACTTGGGGAAAAAGAAGAAAGACCAGCGGGCAGAAAGGGAAAAACGATGTACGAAGATTGAGAGTACGCACATTCCATTCACGACTCAAGAAATTCCTGTCTTCGGGAACTGACGGGCAGACCGTCTTAAGTGACGATTCAGACATATACGATGTCGGATTCCATGACTACCCAGCGTTATGGGTCCAACTTGTAAGAAATAGGGCAACAACATTCCTTCGGGTCCAGATGAGTAGGGAACCATTATTACATCGAGGGTCCAGGCTGAGTAATTGATATATGTGCATACACAGCAGTCTGTCCGCCGCACAGTGTCATTAGACTTGGAGGGGTCATATATGGAGTGCGCATTCTCACATACCGAGCATCTTCACGCGACCCACGTACATCATGAACCTTCTCCCTCCTGTAATTATAGAACTGCGGCGTCCTCGGTCTTGAATTGACCAGTGGCGTTCAACCATGTCATGGACACGGGTGGTCTGACCTCCCTGCGAGAGATAGGGCATGAAATCTGTGGGGAACCAGTTCGGCAACACTTCATTGAAAATGTTCAGAATGACAAACTCGTGAAGCTCTCGATACTCCTTCTTGTCAACGCTCAGCAAAGAGGAGACGGGTATTCACAAGGCCGACGCGCGATTTTGGAATTGAAACATTTTCTATGTTTGCTACGAAGTCGAGTGTCGAGCACTTTCAGGTTCTGAAACGTGCGCTTCAAAGCCGCTGAGAGTCCGGTTGTCATCGATACATGATCTGTAGGCACTATGATCATGATTGCAGGTCGTTGAAGACGCAGGCCTCTTGTGTCATGGCACTGAAACGTCCCTATACTTAGGTCCCTCTATTAGTATGAAACGAATGTCACCATCGAGGCACACAGAGAGCCCGGGATGCACTCACCTTATATTCCAACGTCTATAATTGGTTGTCTCATCCAGAGACAAATAACACCGGCGGAGTATCTGCCTTCGAAAGCAAATTTGAGCTCGAACTCGAACATGGGAGTTGGGAGTTGGGAGCAAGGGTTCGTCACGGTCACGAGAAATCGACACGACAAGTCACAGCCAAGAAATCACGCTTCTCCTTGATCCCATACTTCCATGATCCATTTCCGACTCCTCAATTGTGACAAACACATCTACCGAGTCGAACCTTGATTGACTGTGCTTCTCGCGAGTCTCAGAGGTAAAAATAGTTTCCCTATCTGAGCTTCCCCCCTGCAACGGTTGCTCTATACATGCGATTATATTGCCAGTTTTTGGCCAGTTTTGACGAATGGGAGTGCAAACTTCGGACCCTAGCCGTCTCCAGCCCAACTGCTATATTTAAGGGTATCTCAGCTCATGAACGACATTGAAACCGGGACCTCAGTACATCATTCGAGTGGACGACCGTCTCGAAACCCCAGTTCCTGGAATCGCCGCAAGAACTCTTAGGCTGCGCCTCGACTCGAATCAATTGGCTAACCGTAACTCTGAGCCATCTTCCTTTTTAGGGTATGAACCAGACCCTTTGGATTTGACTGGATGCTCGGAGTTTATTGAGGAAGTAAGAAGATTATCACCTCTGTGCCTCGCACGAGTTTAGCACATGATACACCTTAGGCCTTTGACTTTTCCGGGTGATTTAGCCTGTTTCGTAGCGTGTCAACTCTCTCAGCCTGACGGAAGCAGATGGCACATTCGTTCTTGCTCCGACTCGGAAGCCCGTCCTTTAGGTTTACCCTCAATTCCGACAGGGCCCAGACTGAGTCGATAGAATCTGTCGTGTCGGTGCAGGTGAGCACCCCACACCATTCCTCTAAGCTCTTGTACAACTAGCCAGATACTGCACAATTCAATGCTTGCGATCTCCGAAACAGTACCTCCGGCATGGTCATGTTGAGGATCGATGAACTAGGTAGTTTTCCGCTCTAAAACTTCACGATTGGGCTTCATTGGAAAGAATCGCAAGTGCTACTGACACGCCGACATCGAGGCGTTGAATTATACACCTTGAGATTGCAATCTTCTGCAGACTCATCCGCGTCTCGTATGATTCACTGACAAGAAATGACAATACACCAAGTTCAAACCCACAATTTTTTCCCTCAATCGAGCTCGTCAATATCTGTGTTTGCTGCGTTGAGATCCGCTGATTGGGTGAGCTTGCGAACCTTTTATTTACTGGGGCCCAAACAGATGGGGTACAGCCACATGAGCTGGTGTGACAATTTGTCACACTGAATTTGTCACTAGTGCGCGCTACTAGCCATTCAGCCATCAACGCACGTAGTGCGTAATAAGGCAAGCTCCCCCACCTCACCATGGGTACTTGCCCATGGAACTCCCTATGTGAGTTCTCCGGCGAGACGAGACCGAAAGACGAAAGATCGCAAGTGCGTGCTGAACTCTGCTGGGACTTGTGGGCGTTACTTCGCGGGACCTACAATGACATCATCACAGAACAGCAGAACTTTCAAGGGATCATTTGGAACATCTACTTATCCTCTGTCGCCTTTTGGTCGAACACCCTCTAGATCATACTTATCGACAAGTGCGATAGCGGGAACTGAGCAGTAAGCCCTTATAGGTGGGGTATGTACTCCTCATCTTTCTTCTCACCTGATGGCCGACTAGCAGCTGGTTATAGCGTCGTGCTAATATAATATGGGTGTCCTCGATTTACCGCGAAGGTCTTGGGTTCAATCCCCACGCTGGCCAGTGGTTCTTTTGTCTATAACTTTGAATGCACAGTTTTCTTGGTTTTGGGTCGCATTCGGACGGTGGGACTGGGCCATTCAACGCCCGCCCAACCCCAGACCTTGAGGAGGAAGGCTACTAGAACTAAATACGAACGTATGGCTCGGATGGCAGCGGAAGATAGATAGTTTTTATTGCGGTTTACTGAGATGAAAAGTTCGTGATATAGATACATCTAGGTGAAATACATAATCATTATAATCATACAGTATTGAAGCCGAAGCGTAAAGTCTAGTCTATTCGATTCGAAGCGGTCGTGGTTACCAATCATTATAGTATCATGAAAAACCGGCAGGGAGGCCATCTCACCCATCCCCACTGTAAGATCTCCCTCGCCTTTAAACATGCGCAGGGAACCTCGGCCCACCGAGGGAGCCAAACATCGCGATCTTGACGAGTCCCAGTTTTGCATCGGAATAGGGCGGATATGGGTATCTGAGGGGTGTGGGGAGTATCCAATGGAAGCTGCAGAAATTGTCTATTAGCATGTGTGAAGGGAAGGGGGGGGGGAGAGCAGAAACAACTCACAACCCAGAACCTCGAGCACCACTATGACCGTGATTACCCAGTACGCCTCTATGATGCGAGAACGTATCAAACCCAGCGCGACCAACACTGGAGTGTAACCCATGTATAAACGTCTGGTTGATCACTACGTTCGTGCTTTTGGTCGTTTGGAGGACTATTGTTCGTCGTGAATACATAGAAAAGTATCGAAAAGGTGAAGAAAAGACGTACCACGTTTTCTAAACGCTCTATCCCTCGAGAACACATACACCGTCCTCACTTCCTCCTTCTCAAGAAACTCCACCGCATCCTCCCACCTCTCAACAGGTACGATCGGTATAATCGGCGCCATCATGCCTTCTTTGTTTTGCAGAAGTACATCCGACGAGGGCACCCCACGTACAACGGTCGGTGCGACGTATCGTTTCTCCCTGACCGTCTCACCACCGATAACGATTTGTCCTTTCGTACGGTTGAGAAGGGAATCGACATGATCGAAGGCTTCCGTATCGACGAGGCGGGTGAACGCAGCTGGTGGTGGAGATCCGTTTGGAAAGAGTTTGGCGTGTCTAATGAAGCGGCCTGTCAGTTCATACTCGCAGTCATAAGAGAGGAATAGGACTTACGCATTTTGGAACGCCTGCACGACCCTCTCTTCCTCCCCACCCAAGACAAACACCCAATCCGGTACCCCGATCGTCTGTCCCGCATTCACTGACTTCGCCAATAAGATCTTCCTCGCAGCGCGTACGAGGGTTCGAGTTGACATGCTTGTCGAATCGAGGAACAAAGGCGATTTGCCTGCGAGGTGGAGGGTCGTAGGAGTTAGATGCCGCGCAGCTGCACACGCAATCAACTTTCCTACATCTCGAGTGCCGGTGAAGTGAATGTGTGCCCAAGTGAGGGGGAGCAGAGTTTCCAAGGGTGTCTCGATGGCACGAACGACGTCAGGGTCCATGTACTTCCCAACCAGCTCACCCATCCACCCATGGCCACTCGGAATGTGGAGAACAGCACAGTTGCCCGCTGCAATCGCCGATGCCAAGGGAACAAAACTCGTGTAGAGCGGGTAACTGGAATGGGGAATAATCAACACAACGCCCTTTCCTCGCTGCTTCCCCCCACGAGCCCATTTTTCCAACCCTTTGAACGTCTGATGCACCTCTTTCAACGTGGAAGCGATCTCGTATACCTGCGTCTCGAACTGTGGTCGTCCTAGCTCGTTTTTCAGGATGCACTCTTCATTTTCTCGTATCATTCTGGCTAGTGCGAGGAGTTGACGCTTGCGAGATCGAATACACGTCAGTTTTCCGTGGTTGGTCAAGGAGGAATGCTGGGTAAAGGAATGGATGAGGTCGGCGTGCATGGCGGGGATTACGTCGTGAGAGTAGATGTCGCCTATCATGGGTGGAGGGTCCGGAAGGCTTTTGACTGTCCGGTTTGTCAATGTATGGGCGGTTTGAAAAGTGAGAGTGGAACGTTGTGAGCGGATTGAGGATGCGGACGACATTTTAGAGGGGCAAGGGGGAATGTGGCATGGGATTCGTGGCTTTGTCCATTTTATATGATGCCTGTGGCCTTTGAACGTTTCGTCATTTCGTGTGCCAGTGCCAAACGTGCATTGAATTTTTGGAATTACTGTTTTGCCAATGCGACTTGGTGGTGGTGGAGTCGGGTGAAGAGGCGCAATGACGCGACGTTGAATCTTCTCACACTCGCTTGAACCTCCTCACGACCGCCTGAACAGGCCTGAACTTGGACTGGCTCCCGAGAATCAAGAAACTGGATAGTGGCAGCTGCGTATAGGTCATGAAGCTCGGTTGATAATAACATCAGGAAAGATCAGGAACCAGATTCCGGAAGTATCACAATACTTTGATTCCTTCATCGCCGGATGTTTCATCGATGAAATTTCATCTCTCAAGCGCTCTCGATAGAGCTGATCAGGGCCTTTTATCGGGGTATATCGTCACCATCATATCCTCCGAGGTTCATAGCTGAGCTTGCTGGAAATTCAACCGTAAAGCTTGTAGACCAGCCCAATTCTCAGAAAAAATCTGGGACCGCTCGGATTCCGAACCATTCTGCGCTACAATTATCGAACCCGCTGTGCATGTACAGTCTCACCGTTTCGGCCTCTGCATAGCAAGCGGAGTCTCTTGATGTGATATGGTCTTCTTACCGTGGAGGTGGCAAGACTTACTATATAGGGCTCAAGCATTCAGCAGAGGACTAACCAAACACAACCAAAACACATCGACGTAATCTTGCAATCTCTAAGTACTGTTACAATGTTACAAAATCAAATTGAACAATCGGACGAAAACGATTACTTACCAGTACCAGGCCGGACTGACTCGATCTCATGATTAATATTGACGAATGGGGTTGGGGGCGTTGAGGGGGCGTTGAAAAATGGTTAAAGCCTCTGAATCACAGTGCGCACACTGCGCGACGTAGAATGGTCATATCTTATGCTAAACTGGAACTTGGAAGACTCTTGGAAGGCCCGCCCCCGAGACCCCCGTATCAAAAAACGGCAAGTTTGAGAGCGGCCACTTGGCAGCTACTCGTCTAGAAGGCTACATCAGACTCAAGAATGCACAAATTCTCGGATAACGAAGATAAAACTCACCACCAACTCTATCCGCGCATCCGCCAACTTCTTCTCGAAGGCCACCAGTTCTTCCTTCATCTTGGTGGTTCTAGATGCGTCACCGTCGTGGATTACTGACCTATTTCGATCAATTCGAATGTCACAGGTCACACGGCCCAAAATTTTCGAAAATTTTTCGAATGGTCACAAGGTCACAGGGGGTCCATTCGAATTGCCCCACCCTGTGACACCTCCGAGCTTGCCAAATTTGGCTTCTCGGGCTCGATATTCGAATTTTTTTCGCCGCGTCACAGGTCACGGTGCGTTCATACGAATTCCCAATTTCGTATGAACCGGTCACCGGTCACAGGCCATTCGAATTGATTGAAATAGGTCAGTATCTTGCTGAGCGACCGAACGGCGTTATCCACTCGAGCCACATTTGACTGATAGGATAGATCAGAGAATAAATAACTTCTGAGATGATAAATATACGACTTACCGCTGTCTCCATCTGTGCATTCCCCACCTCTCTCCTCAAGTCCGCCATATCCTCCTTGGTGGCCATGAGTGCATCACCGTCGTGGACTGTTTTGTTGAGTGACTGAACAGCATCGTGCATTTTAAGGCGGATGGCACAGATATTGCTCGTCTGACAGGATAATTTAGATACCCAAAATTATGCAATGAGGTCAACCCGATTGAAGAAGAGTGAGACTCACCATGAAAATCATATGCGCGTCCGCCCTCCTGAAAGCAGCTAAATCTTCTTTGGTCATACTCGCCAAAAGCACTCGCAGACAACGCTTAGCGAGGGTCTTGCGCCCGAGCTTCTCCACGTAGTCACGAATACGATTGAGGATCCTGCGTCAAATTGCCCACACAAGCCCTGGCCGTTAGACTGCCGAAACCTATTTGTGATTTGGAGCTCACCGGTTAAAGGCTTCGATATGTTGCTTCATGTCAGCCGTCAGCTCGATTGAATGATTGATAGCGTTCGCGTTGGACTGCACTTGGCCCTGTATCTTTGCCAATAAATCCCAGTGAAAATGAACACGTATTGTCAGCAATTTTGGGCTATTCCCACACATTTGCCGCGGGGATCTCGAGAAAATAGCTGACAAAGTAAAAAACCGGGAACATTTATCGCTTTGTCCGCTATTCACAGCTATTCTATGGACAAAAATGAGTGGACGACCGCGACAGGGCGCTCCTTGTGTATTGCTAGATATTGCTTGTAATCACACGACACCGTGCACTGAGGTATTGTCAGAAATTGAATGCAATTAATATCAATTAGACTATATGGGAGGTACGTGTACAATAGATGGTATATACCAGTAAAACAAGGAGTAAGTACTGCAGCTGCCACCGCCGTCGTCACCACAAACAATTATTAATTGCAATTCAGGCAGCCTGTCTGGGAAGGTGTGAGTATCTGAACATCAGATAAGAGAAAGAGAACGAACCTGAGCTCGAGCGAAGGCACTCCCGCGGCCCGCCACTGCTACATGTTTTTCCTATGCTCAAGATGTTGATCATTTCTTCAAAGGAGCATGGATGACTGCAGTGAACTCTACCTATAATTCAAGAATCATGAGAGGTTGATGTGCAGCACAAAGACTAGCAATACGCACCATATTTCTATGCCTGAAACTGACGACTCAAAGATACCACATCTTGATATTTGAGGGCTACATGTGAATTCTAGATGTTTCCAGGTAAGAGGTCAGAATATGAGACATTGGGACAAAAGATAGAGAAAGGACTGACTGAAATGCTGTGATACTCATACAGCGTACATGGTCGTGGTGTCGAAGAGAGTGAGCTGGCAGGTGGCTGTGTCTAATTGGACAAT